TTATTATTTTTGGAAATTTGTATTTTTGAATAATTTAACTTTCAGCCTTTTATGTAGAAATTATCTGTAGAAAACTGTACAGTATCAGGATGGGTAGATTAAACCTGTAAAAAAAAAAAAGTGACATTTTTCTTTATTTTATGTGCATCCTTTGAGTTTACAATGCCGGGGATATTGTCTATGTCTCTATGTTGGATTTTGTTTTTGTTTTTTTAAGCAAAATAATAAAAATTATTAACTTCTTCTGGTGATTTTTTTAATTTATTTATTTATTTTTCAGCCTTTAGACATACAGATCTATAGGTGCTCATCTGAATACACAAAGTTATGGTTGACAGACTGTAAAATGGATTGAATGTCAATATGTTGGGAGTCATTTTGGAGCAGTAACAAACAATGTGTTGACAAATGTCAAGTGGTCTCATTCAAAACAATAACACCACCTTGTGGTGACTGTTGGTAACGTGGAGAGCTTCCATGAATACATCAGGAAGATGTAGCGCAAAGAGAGGCCCTCAGGCGGTACAAGACATACAGTGATGAGTTTGACTGAGGATGGCTGATATCAAGAAAATCCTACCAGTGGCTTCAAAAGGTTGGCGAGAGCAGGCCCTAAGAACCAGAACCATAGAGGCAGGGGTCTGGACCGTGCAAAGATGTCCCTAAAAAAGGTGCAGCGGTTGGTAGAACAATAGAAGATGCAGGCAGGCACAGCGTCACAAAGATGCACAACCAGCTGGATGGGATAGTACACAGACACATGAAACAAGGATGGGTTAGACGTTCCCAGACCTCGATCAGACACAACATAACAGAGTTAAGGTCCAGTGGGATTAAAGTTCTAGTTGATGGCAACCCAACCAGACAAAGTCAGCAGATTGAAGAAGAAGGAATATGAGAAGATCTAGAAGCACCAGGAGCTGAAGGAACAGATGCTGAAGGTAAAGTTAAGTAAAGCTGTGACCCCCAAACTGGGAAAATGGTTGTAGGTACAACATCAAAGGTCTCGGTCCAGAAGAGTGCAGTCTTAGGATAGGCTATGGCACAAAATACTAAAAAAAAGCTTCAGGTCGAGGACTGAAGCTTGAGACATACCCCACCCTGAGATAGAAAGCAAGCCAGCTGGATATTTAAAATGTTCATTATTATCAAGACAAGTCAGCTTTCAGCCCAAAAAAAGAACCTTTCTGCAATAAAAATCCAAATATCCAGTTAAGTCCAATAAATCAATTCCATCCATCATCTCTACACCTTAGTCCTCACCAGGGTCATGGGGGGCTGGAGTCTATCCCAGCTGACTCAGGGTGAAGGCAGGTTCACCAGGACAGGTAACCAGTCTATCACAAGGCTACACTCATTCACACCTATGGACAAAAAAAAAAGTGCTACCAACTGCACCACCTTGCAGCTCTCAAGTTCAATAAATCTAAGCTTTATATCAAACACTGCATCCAATCCGTGGTGTCGGCCTGCACAGCACAACTGTTCATTTGTAGTTTACCTAACTGGCCAGAACTGCATGTTTTTGTAAAGCGAGATGAAAACCTCCCCTGACTGCTGTGATTAGAGCCAAGGCTGTGTTTGCTGCGACTAATGACTGAAGGTAGTGAACCTGCTCTTCAAAAACACAGATACTTGGCGGTAAAAAAAAGCCCTCCCTTCATGTCGGACGGTCTGCTAACAGCATGTCATAGCAGTTACATTAATTGGCCACCAGATAGTAGCAGACAATCTGCAAGAGAGTCTTTCAAGGTTCTGCAAAATCTGTAATCTTAAAACGTCCTACATGGAGTTCTGCACGAGGCTTTTTTTCTTACATGTGAGCTGTGAATCCTTCAAGCATTTGAGCCATTCTGGTACAGCTTTTAATTACAGTCATCAGGCAGACCATGTTCTATTTTTGATTTCTATATTATATTATAATCTTCTTGCACTAAACTGAAGCCACTTCTCAAGCAAACAACGAATATTCAGATAAATTAAAATGTGCATACGCTGCATCCTTGGCTCCAAACTCATTGTGTACATCGTGATCTTGTTACACTCCTAAACGTCACTGATAATTAGCACTCCGGAGCTGAAGAATGACAGGTGATGCACACGGGGAATCTATTACGCTGCGTCAGTGGTATGTAGGCTACGCTTTGTGACAGCCGCCTCCCTGGTATCCGTGAGTCACAGCCGACAATCTCACCCTAAAAACGTGTTGCAGAATCAGCTGTGATGTGAAACTGGAGATGCAGATTACATCAAATTCATGCAGCGAGATTGTAAAACCTGGAATGAGGTTAGCAAAAGATCTTCCATGAGATTAGAACAGAAAAACTGTCGACCAGCAAGTTGGAGCTGCGGGTCACAAGTCCAACGTGCCACGACGGAGTGTGTTTAGGTAAGACTGGCACACTGAAATAGCACAAAAAAAACAATCACATGAAAGAAATGAGTATTATTTAGCAGCTGCATTCTTTAAAAAGTTGGTTAAAGATGAGGAAACAGTGAAGCCTCTCAGAAGAACTTTAAAAACAGATTTTCAGAGAGTTCGTTAAAGCAGCAGTGGTTTGAAAACTCATCTTTCACCTTCCACCTGGGACACCATTAATGCTATTTTTTGCACCTCAAAGCATAATATTAGTGGAGATGCTGGTCATTTCTGGGCATTTATAGAACCACACAGGGTTTCACAACAGATCCTCAGAGGTTTTTTTACGTCCAGGTCGCCCTCAAGCGAAGCAGCAACGCATCAGCTGATCACGCTGCAATGATTCAGCATTTAAATGGAATAAAACAACAATTCCCAATAAAGTCTTTCTGGTTTGTTGGTTGGTTGGTTGACATACCTGTCATACCACTTTCAACCGTTCTCTGTGTGTCAAAGCGCACAGACGAAAACAAAAACCATCCCAGTGGCTTCCAGAGCACTCGACTCGACAGTTTGAATTTGTGAAGCGTTCTGTTCTTACGAGCGTTTTACGCATTTGAAGGATGAAAACTGTGATAACTCGATGACACCGAGGAAACTAAACTGTAGCTGCAGTTATCGTGCGACTGAAATTGTATAATTTCAACATTTTAGCTCTTCCTGCTGAAATAAGCAGTTCTCCAAGTTGTTGATCTTTCAAATTAAAAGCTCCAAGAGGGCCTATTTTGGTGACCCTCCCTCCAGCTATGGAAGTTCATTACAGATCTTGTCACTGTGGGGTTAAAATCTAATTGGATGTTGATGTTTGATGACCACTAGAAGCTGAGAGGAGCTCAGGAGTCTCTGGGTGAAACATCAGCTCCTCAGAAACTGAATCACTTTCCTGCAGGATCAATAAAGTCGACGACTGCGAGAGAGACTCGCACTCGTCTCATTTGCTTTCATGGGAGTCGCTCATGTTTGAGGTTTTGGGTAATGAGCACCATAAACTCCCCCCCGCCCCCCCGCCCTCCGAAGAGACTTTATTAGCATTTGTGAATAATCCACTTCCTTTGGATAAACAGCTTGACTTGAGGGGGGGATCTCACCCAGAGCTGATCAGAGGCGAGAAGCAGCAGGAGGATAAACAGAAACAGGCTGATAGGATGACAGACAGGAAGGGCGGCGGAGAAGAGAGACAAAGACGGCGAGGCAGAAAGGTATTCGGGCTGTTCTCGGTACATTCCTGCAGAACTACATTCTTTGCTAAAATGGTTCGCACACACAGTCATGGTGGTTTGTCACGTTCGAATAAGCCTGATTAACTGCGGGCAAAAGTCAGTGTCACTTCAGTAATGAGGTTCTGTGAAAGTCTCTTCCCACAGCAGCTACGTTTCACTGAGCTGACGACCTTGTTCGAGGCTATTCAGGCAAATAAGAGACCAGCAGAGAACAGAAACGAGCCTCAGTGTGGACGCATGTGCTTCTGTTTATGCAACATCTCATAGAAATCTCATATTTTTCTCCTCAGCAGTGATGGAAACTTCTATACTCCCCTGGTTTGCATATTTCATAGATTAAGCGAGTGCTCTCTCTCGTGTGAAGGTTTGACTCTAATCCACTCTTGCTTGTATTCGGCTCGACCCTGACGCCTCGGAGGCCTCGTGTTTTGTCTCTTGAAGGTCCACGCAAGTAATTCTGTGGAGGCCTTGAAGCTCCTCGAACCACAAAACACTGACCTCCGTCTTTTTGCCCGCTTCTGGGAGGAAAGAAACCTTAGAAATTAAGTGTGACTTTATACGTTTGGCAGAAAGCACGACCCTGAGTGCGTACATATCACAATAAACCCCTCTGATGGACATTTGCTCTTTGTGAATTTACCTTTTGCAGGATTTCAAGATCAAATGTGCACCGTTTCCTCATCTAATATCGAAGTATGTGGCTTCTTTTGTTTAAGATTTTTACACTCAACCATCAGCATAATTTAAAACACATGCTTGTCCCTGCCTGTGCCACTGACTGTCAAGTCTTTGGTTAGTTTTCAGTCAACAAAAAGCAGAAAATCCAAATATTTCGTGGTGTGTCAGTTCAAATCTGTGGGAAAAGGTGTGTGCACTTGTTTTGGTTTGTGTGGTAGTCTATCCTCTGATACACTTTTATTTCACTGGAGTCATTTGGATCCCTTTGTTTTTAACACATTTAAACAAAATCTGCAATTTCATGCTTCTTTTTCTCCCCTGTGCAATGCATTTTACTTCATTAAGGTAAAGAAAAGTTTCCCTGTAGTTTCCAACAACTTCACCTGTGATTGAAATTCTATATTTTCCTGGTTTAGATTCAGCAGGAGACCTGGTGAAGCTTTCTATCTGAAGATGGAACTCATTCTTTTATTTTGAAATGTGAGAGAGCTGAAGACACAGAGAGCCTGTGCCGGACAACAATCTTTATCTTTCTTGTTCTTTATCGCGTTTGCATGACAAAAAGCCTTCGTCGAAACTCCCCTCTGTCCGTCTCTGGCCGTCTTTGGATGAAAAGAAGCTCACCGCGCGCCACACCTGTCCTGTTCGGGCACTCTGGCGCACAGGTGAGGCCGAAGCTCCGCCCACTTCCAAGTTTCAGTCAGACTTGTTTTGAAAGAGCAGCTGTTGAGGCTGTCAAAACTCAGTCGCTCCTGTCGAAGTTATTACACGGGGTTCGGGAGCGAGAACACACACATCCTCCTCCACATCCACAACAACAACAACAAAAACAACAACAACAGTCATGCCGCAGCGAACAGCGCAGGAGTGGATCCGGACCTCTCTGCGCACTCCGGGCATCTTCATCTTCGGCCTGGTCATGGCTCCCTGCGGCTGGATCCTGGATCTCACCGCCACCGTGTCCCCAAACTGGAGGACCCTGAACAACATCCCCAACAGACCGGCGGACGAGTTCCTGCAGCAGGGCATCTGGGACATCTGCAGGGCCACGACCACCACCACCACCCTGGAGTGCAATCTGCAGGACACCACGTACTTCGGGAACCAGATCATCGAGGTGGCCCAGGGCCTGATGGTGGCCTCCCTCATCGTGACTCTCATCGGGCTGGCCGTGGCCATCCCCGGGATACGCTGCTGGAGAGACCAGCCTAACTGGGTGGTGGCCGGCCTGGGCGGGCTGCTCATCTTCCTCTCGGGCGTCATGACCATCATCCCCATCGCCTGGTACACCCACATCCTCACCGAGATCACGTCCGCGTCCCCGCTCAACGACGTGCGCGTGGGCTACTGCATCATCCTGGGCTACATCGGCGGGATATTCGAGGTGCTGGGCGGCTTCGTCATGTTCATCGGGATCTGCCGCTGCTGCGGAGGGAAGAACCGGGGCGAGAGACCCGTGGAGGAGGTCACCGGCCGGTACCGGCAGAGGAAGACGGAGCTGCCGAGACGCGTGGAGGTGCCGAGCCTGAACCGGGCCAGGAGCACCGCCAGCAGCGTGCCGTACTCCAAGGACTCCCTGGACGATGATGTGTCGTTCCCCCGAGCCAAGAGCCCCGCGGCCCGCTCAGCCAACACCTCCATGAACGGCAGGCCCTACGACGCAGACCTATGAGGAGCTGGAGAGGAGAGGACAGTTTACAAAAGAGACTGTGAGTGGAAAACATCCGAGGAAGAGTATTGTAGTGATGTAGGAGACACAAATACAACAAAAAAGTACTTTAAAGTCAGCATTCAGTCTTCTGCTGAAGATCAAAAACCTTAAATATGAAACTGAAGTGAAGCAGAATCTCTCCATCATTAACATCTGAAGGCATGTGTGTGTGATAGAAGAAGGAGTTTAATGGTGTGACAGGTCCGTGGCTGCAGGTTAATGTGGCTCATTAAGGGCTCAGCTTGATTATGATTAATTATAACATGAGTGTAACAGATTACAGGCCAGTTGGAGGCCCCTAACGGAGCCATGAACACCATAAAGGTAGTGATAATGACAGTGTGAGGATATAGAAGGAGTGGGCCATGAAGGACTTTGGAGAATGAAGAATTGTGTCTGGAGGAAACAGTCATGAAGCTCAACTCAACTTGTCAAATATTCCTCATGTTTAAGGAAGCTTTTATTTTTCTCGTGTACATTGATTAATGCACCGTCCTGTTGTTTTTCTGTAAATACTGTCTTGTGATGCACTTTACGATTAAGGCCAAACCTTCCAGGTTGAACGAAGCATCCTGAAGTGATCAATGTTGTTCTCGTCGCTCTGCAGTACACGTGATTAAATGTGTTTCCTAATAACATATGGCTGAGTCCCTTTTTCTGAACTGGTCAGAAAACTAGAAAGAAAGAAAACTGAACCCGGTGAGTGAATCAACGGATGTACGATGACTAAAACATCACGTGGTACAGAAGTGAATATAGAGGTGATGTATTCATGTGTTGCTGTGTGCTGTACCCAGAGAGGGCTAAAGGGAAACTCATTATTTACACTCTTCAAACACACACTATGCATGACAGTGATGGTTTTCTTTCTTTCTTACACCCACTGTGCTGTGTTCACCTCGTAAGTATACAGACAATGCAGTCTGACCGGTCTGAGAGGTTGCTTTCTTTACACATCTCGTCCAACGACATTATCTCTTCTGTTCAAACCGATCTGAGACGAGGCGGCGACGCACTCACGGCTTCTTGTACGTCTTTTGTGAATAAATTGGCTTCTGCGAAATCACAATCGCAGCTCTGAGTGCAGCAGGACAACACGACGACAGCTGAATGAGATGCAGGAGTAGAGAGGAAATAAGAGTCTGTATTTTGTCTTGAATGTTTGTAAGAGTGCTCGAGCTGAAACAACATCAGGAGACCTGTTTGGTTGTGAAGAACTGACATCAGGGTTTTCAGCCTTGTCTTGATAATTAACTGAAACGGAGACAGAAAAGTGTGCTCGGTCTGTCTTTAAAGATGTCATCTAGCGAAAATCAATTTGTCCACATGATGTTTTCTAAATGCTGGAACACGGAAATAAGCGACCAGCACCATGACTGAGCATTTCCATCTTAAAACCGCAGCGTACCGACGACAGCCTCAAAAACACAGATTCAAACTTTAGTGGCTTCATACGTCACAAACCCAAAGGAACCAGTACAGTCAACCTGCAGGGTGGAGCTTTCTGTCATTATTCATCTTCAGAATCAGTTTCCAGTTTGAACATGGCTGAGTTGCAGGTGCCACTAGCACAGAGTAGCTGCACAGCGTTTGAGGACGGTGTTCAAGTCCAGAAGAGATGATTCTACATCTTAATATGTAATTAGTAGATGAGTTTTAGGGGTTTAATCAAAGAGTGAAAAAGGGAATTTAATTCTTTACTTTCATGGTAACGATGACACATGACAAAGGTCTGTCAAGTCAAGTCATCTTTATCTATTTATAGCAAAAGAAGCCAACCCAAAGACCAATTTTACACAATACAAGTACACACACATGATACGACAACCAGCTGAGCAGGTTATCATAGGCAAAGCATGTTGGAATAAAGAACACATAAATATAGAAAATCAAAGTTTTAAACAAAGGCAAAGATTTAAAGAAGAAACTGAGTAAAACTGATCAATGCAAAATTACAGGCTGTAGAAAGAATGAGATGAGCTTCAGACTGAACTAAAGCAAAGGGAACCATCCATCCATCATCTATACACCACTTAACCCTCACTAGGCTCACGGGGAGTCAGCTGGATCTATCCCAGCTGACTCAGGGTGAAGGCAGGTTCACCTGGACAGGTAACCAGTCTATCACAGGGCTACACTTAGAGACAGACAACCAAGCACACTCACATTCACACCTACGGACAATTTACAATCACCAATTAACCTCAGCATGTTTCTGGACTGTGGGAGGAAGCTGGAGAACCCGGAGAGAACCCACGCTGCACGGGGAGAACCCGGGGAGAGATCCCGGGTGTCCTCACCGGGACGCCAACCGGCGACCTTCTAGCTGTGAGGCGACGGTTCTAAGGCAGAAAATTAAGTGAATGTTTCAGAATCTATCTCAGTGGGTGGTCTGACATGATCAGTGCAGCATAGGTTGATATTTGGGTTAAACTCCTGAAACATTGGATCATACATTACCCATAATGCAATTAAACCATCTTCTCCAGCATCTAGAAAGTTTCCATTAAAGTCAACAGTGTCAGTTTGTAACAGAGGCAGTCAAGAGCTGCAGTACCCCACCCTGCTATCAACCCTATTATTATTTATGTAATCTCCTTTATTAATTTACTGTTACGTAAGCATGCAGCGAGTTTTCCTGTTTTCAATGCAGCATTAACAGGAAAGCAGGTGTTGACACGGTGTCGCCTTCACGGCTCATCTTTGGGTTCCTCCTTGGATCAGATACACGTCGTCTCGTATAACAAACGCCGTCAGCTTCAGAATCCAGATCACTGGGTCCAGGTGAGTTTGGTAAACACGGAAGCTGATGTTATCGCGTCACTGGAGCCGAAAAAGACTTTAAAAACGCACAGAATGCACAAAACAAACACGGAGTCTGGTGTCGGCGTTAATAAACGGTGACTCCCCGAAGCACACATCGTAATAGGAAAACTTTCATCTGAATTCTCACCTGAGGTATTTTCTAGAAGCAAAACCAATGTCAAAACAGACTTTATTTATATGAAACTGTGTGCATTTATACAGAAGCTATATGTATATAAATCACTGACCTTTTAGGGGTTTTGTACATTTTATTTGAAAACTACAAAAAGTTTAGAGAAATGTGGATTAAACACAGTTGCTCAGTGTAAACAGTGTGCACATAGAAAGTACAGTCCAGTGTCTATGTGGTTAAAACATATACATGACAGTGGAATAGACAAAAAAAAAGGCATAAATAGAAAATACAGGGGCATAGATGGACAGCAGTGATATTTACAAAAGTCACACACACAAAAAACAGCTCTAATTATAAAGTATAATCCGGCTAAAATACAGTTTGGCTTCCGCTGGCCAAACATTTGCTAACAGGAGAGGAATTTTCAAATGAAGAAAAGCAGGAGAACATGTTCTAGTTTCGGTTGGCTGATGTACAGAAGTTCCTTCTCTGGGAAGAAAAAAAATAAATAAAAAAAAACTACTTTCTTTTTCTTGTCAGTTTAGGCTACCTGCAATTTTTCAGCTCCAAATCGACTGAATATTGTGTGTAGCAGAGCTGAAAATTAACAGCGAAGTCGATGCTTTTGCTGATTTAGCGACAGCTTGGAAAGGAATGCGTTCGCAGAACTCATTAATGGAGTTTTGTCTTTGGCGGTTTGTCATCCTGACTCATCACTTCGGAGGAAAGCGGCCGTTTATACACACACGGTTTGTCCGACACGCTCGTCATCTTCTACGTCTACAGAGTGTGTGTGAACATAAACACACACCAGTAGTCACACGCAGCACAAAAACAGAGAAAGACAAGATGGCAAAAGCAGATGTGTGCCAGTGTTTGTCATTATCAGCAGGTAAACAGGCTGTAGGCAGTAATTCAGTCAGTAGTGAACAAAAGAAACACAGCACAGAAAAGACTCAACACTGGCGATGTTACACAGAGTAATCTGATTACTCATGAAGGACCAAAGTACCGAGGACTGGGAGGTTTATCTGTGACAAAACACATGAGTGATAATCAGTCTGCAAGCTGAGATTCAGCTGGTTTAAAAGCATGGAGAGTTCCTGGTTTTGTAAAAGCTTGACTTGAAATCCGCTGCGACCATCTTGTAGCTTCGATACGGGATTTGTGAAAATTATGCAGTATTGTGTGTATATATGTACATGCATGTAGACGGAACTCAGAGCTAAAGGATGCCAGTGAGGTGCTTTTCTGCTGCGTTAGAAACTGATCAGTTTGCACGAGGAGAACAAGAAATGCTTCCTAAACAAAATCTCACAAATGGCTAAAAGCAGGAACCTGCAGGAGGAGTGGTATGAAAAAGCAGCATCTACACAACGACAATGTGGGATAAAAAACCCACATCCTTCTGGTTAAAGTGCATATATACTCAATAAAGCTCTACAATAAAGCTTGAAATCAATTACTAAGTCTTTCAGTTTTCATAAACTCACTCGTGATGCGTACAAAAAGTTCAAAGCGCTGATTCTGCTTTGGCTGTGTTTACAGGAAGCTGCTGCTCCGTCACAGAGACAAACTAAAGCTGAGTGTTATTTTACTAAAACGCTGTTACAGGAAACCATCAGCAAGGCTTTGCAAACTAAAAATGCGATCAAAGCAGCAAACGTTGAATGAAGTACAGACAGATCCTGGAATTTGTTGCTGGAAATTCAAACTGCGAACAACGCGGTCGTTTAACCTTTTGAATTCTGCTGCAGAGAAGAGTGACACATTCAGTCGGTGTGAGGACGTCCATGCAGCTGCTGATGGAAACATCTGCACAAATAACCATATATGGGGGGAAAAAAATCTCTCAGTGTTTAAATTAATGTTGCTGCAGAGGCTGCTTGAAGCACAAACACATTATAGTGACATGTGCGATATACAGATGCCTGTAAATCACTCGTCTGTTTAAACCGACTGCCTGGGAGCTCTGGAGAGACGTGCAGGTGTTGACATGTTGCATGCATGCATCAGAAATCCTGTTTTGGAGATATAACTTATTTCTATACGTTTGTCATCATTGTGTGATTAATAAAAACCAGTGAATGTGCAGCAGTAGAAGTTCTGGTTCTAGATTGTTTGCAGTTTGAAAGAAACAAACCATCAGTCGAGTTGCATCAGTTTGTCAGGTTACTAGTCACGAGTCGAGGCCGTCAAGGTAGAGGTCAGTGGATCTGCTTCCCTTTAAACCAACTGTGCTGCAAACGCTGCAGAGGAATGCCGACGGACGCTCAGTGGTGCCTCACAATACCATGGTCGACCTGGACAAGGATGAGAGGAATTATACCTTTAATTATACCAGATGTTTTACATACTCTGTAAAGCAGAAAGCTTTCTGGTCCTTCATAGGTTTAAAAAAGATGTAAATCCACATTTAGACACTTGCAGATTGAAGACATCAATGACCTATGGAGTTTTTAACCACTAGGGGCACTATGGAGCACTGTTTTCAAGAGCAGGTCTCTTGGTAGCACAGCGTACGTCCTACAATTACTGTCATACTGTTGTGCTAATTGAAATCTGGTGGTGGCAACAGACCAACAAAAGCAGCTGGAAATCATGTGGCTGAAAAAGAAGGGTATCTTAAATATGATAAATCTAGCATTTGGTAAATGACGTTACATGAGGAAGGAAATACACTCAGTACACCTGTTGGA